ATGAAGATCTACTCCACTCCATAACTAAACTACACGAGAGGTCCTTCAACACACCCATAGCTCGAGGACATACGCCAACTCAATACAGAAGTCCAGCACCCAATAGTCCTTGCTACATCCCCAGCAAACTCTTCTCGCCATATTCGAACAATCTGAACACATCGCAATCAAATCGTACTTATCAAGTAGTCATCCAACCACAAAATTCACTAATAGAGACACTACCGGACATATAAACCTAAAAGCATGTGCTTACACAATCAACACCTTAGTGCTCAAGCTACAGTCAAAACCCGGTCCTATGTCCTCCAAATAGGCCCATCATCAGCATACTGAAATCATATCTCGTACCTTATCCATGGAATCACAAGCCGTCAATGCACAGCTGATACCGTGCGCTCATGTGCACATACGAACGCGTGGAAGGAATTCAAAGAGTTACATTTCAAGCTAAATCAATATCGCACGATAAGAATTCAAGAATGTAAAATTTTTCTAAGGGTTCTGCAGCCTCTCGAAGACATGAACAGACATCTCTATACCGATCTGCAAGACACTACTAAACCCGCTCATGACTCGTGAGACCTATGTAATTTAGGCTCTGATACCAACTTGTCACGACCTAAACTTACCCGTCGTGATGGCGCCTATCGTGGAACTAGGCCAGCCTCAACTCAACGCAACCCAAAACAACAATACTAAAATCAAATCATTTACGGAAAAACTTTCATCGTTTTAAATAAATTGTTTAAGACACAAAAGAAAGATTCATATTACGATACAACCATCCCAAAACCAGGGTGTCACGGAGTACATGAGTGTCTAGAGAAATAGCATAGTCTACTACATTGTTCACTGAATACAATTGAAACACAACTAGAATAGAGAAGGAGGGTCAAGGCCTGCGAACGCCATACAGATACCTCAACAATCTCCAAAGCCTGAAACCTCAATCAATGACTGCCACTAGGACCGAAAGCACCTGAATCTACACACAAGGTGCAGGGGGTAACGTGAGTACCCCAACTCAGTAAGTAACAAGTTCAACCTTTGGACTGATAGGTAGTGACGAACGTAACCTCAACAAAAAATAGAAATAAGTTGTGCAGTAAAGTAGGCATGCTAATCTTTCAGGAATACAGCTCAGCAGTGAAATAAATACAGATATGAATAATGTAAAATATAAAGCTCCGCTAATTCTACATGCCAATGTACAGAATGTATGAAATGCACCATATGCTCCCACTCTCAAGTGCTCAACCACTTGATACTGCATATGGCCATCCGACCCAGGAAAATCAATCCCGGAACATATACAATGCTGACTGCAAGTCATCTAGTACCGAGGAGCAAGGGTAATCCAACCCTGATGAGAAATCTATCTGCAGGGATATATATATATATATATATATATATATATACACACACACACACACACACTCTACCATTCAGTACCATATATGGTCATTCAGCCTAGGGAAATCATCCCTGAACATACTCATCACTGACTATAGTCACCCAGTACCGAGTAAAAAGGGAAATCCATCCTTGTGGAGAAATCCATCCCCATATATGTCAATACTTCAGACAAATCCATGTCCAGGAAACTCCATCCCTGTGGAGAAATCCATCTATATATATATATCAATACTTCGGCAAATCCATGTCTAGGGAAATCCATCCCTTAATAATATCATCTGCACCCACTGTGGGTGTGCAAACTCTACAGGGAATCCGACGTGCCAAGCGCTATAACAAGTCAATGAAGGCATAATCAATAATCCGTTGCGGCGTGCAGCCCGACCCATAACTATCACTCATAATCAGGCCCTCGATCTCTCTAAGTCATCACTCTCCAATCTTACTCACGGGCTTACAATGCCATGAAAACTAGCCTGAAACAATTATATGATGCGACAAAAAATAACAACTGAGACATGATATGATATGCATGAGTAAGACCGAGTATCGAATATCAATTAAACTAATGAGATGACAGCAAGAAACGACTACTCGGGTCTCAACAGTATTGGCGTGAAGCCTTAACATGATAATTAGCATGATTTATAGATCATTTCCTTAGTCATATAATCACAACACAAATATCAATAAGAAAGAGTCACTAAGCTGCCATCGAATGAACCAGGCCACAATTCTCACGGTGCACGCCCACACGCCGGTCACTTGGTAGTTGCATCACTTTAATACTTAATCATATAACACATAATTCGGGGTTTTGAACCCTCAAAACCAAGTTTGGAAGCATTACTTACTTCAAACCAAGCCAAATCCTACTCCGCTACGCCTTTGCCTCTAGGATCGGCCTCCAAACGTCCTGAACCTAACGTAAAGCAATGCAACCCAATCAATATAGGCCAAGGAATCAATTCCAAACGAAAACTATTAATTTAAACCAAAATCCCGAAATTCACCCAAACCCCGCCCTCCGGGCCCACTTCTCGAAATTTGACAAAAATTACAAAACTAGAAACTTCTTCCACTCACGAGTCCATACATACAAGATTTATCAAAATTCGACTCCATTTGACCCCTCAAACCCTCAATTAAAACTCTCCAAAATCCCAAGCTCTAACCCCTCATTTTACCCTTAATCACCACTAATTACATGATTAGACCACAAAAAACTACCATAATCACGAGTACTAGGGCTCAAATTACTCACCTCAGTGAAAACCCCCTTGAATCCCTCTTCAAATTGCTCCCAATAGCTCCAGATCTGGATGAAAAATAGTGAAGAATGACCAAAATTTGCGAATGGGCCTTTTTTATACATTCTGCCCAGCACTTCCCCATCTGCGGCCAAATTCACACATCTGCGGGACTGCACCTGCGGTCTAAACTCCGCATCTGCGCATTTCACTTAACTTCCCAGCTTCCGTACCTGCGCCTCAGGCCTCGCACCTGCGGGCTGGTAGATGCGGTCCAACTTTCGCTCCTACAGTTCTTCTCTGCTTCTGCGATCCTATTCCCCTTCTGCGGACCTCGCACCTACGGTCCCCAATCCGGAGGTGCGGAAATGATAGAAGCAGCAGTTTCAGCTGCTCAAATTAATTTCCAACCCTTCTGCTAAGCATTTGAATTCATCCCGAGGCCCTCGGGACCCCAACAAAAAATGTCAACAAGTCACATACCACCATTCAAACTTATTTAAATCTTCGAAACACTCCAAACAACATCAAAACACCAAATCACTCTCAGATTCAAGTCTAAGAACTTCTAAACTTCTGAATTCCGCAAACGATGTCGAAACCTATCTAACCTCGTCCGAACGATCTGAAATTTTGCACACACGTCATAAATGACACCACAAACCTACTCCAACTTCTAGAATTTCATTCCAACTCCAATATTAAAATTTCCACTGCCTACCCGAGAAACGCAAAATTTCTAATTTCGCTAATTCAAGTCTAATTCCACCACGAACCTCCAAATCACATTCTGGACGCGCTACCAAGTCCAAAATTACCTAACGGGGCTAACCAAATCATAAAAATCCAAATCCGAGATTGAATACTAAAAAGTCAAAACTTGGTCAAACCTTTCAAATTTAAAGCTTCAAGCTGAGAATCATTCTTCCATATCTATTCCGATTAACGTGAAAACCAAAACTTACAAACATAAGTCATAATACATCACACGGGGCTAGTCATGCTCGAAAACTAGCGAGCGAAGTGCAAATGCTCTAAACGACCAGCCGGGTCGTTACACCTTAACTATATCAGAATATTATTAGGAGAGAAAGTCCTCCTACTATATCAACTTGCATGTGTTATGCATATAACATTTCATCAATTCACTTTTTGAGGAAGAGAACACTTACCTCATTGATTTTTCTCCCTATCGTACATTAAGATTTCCATGCAAAGTATAATGTGTATTTGATACAAAGGAAAATATTTTTCATAGAAAATGATTTTATGAAAAATACTTTTTTTTAAAAAGAGTGATTTTATCACTTATTTTCCCTTGTTTAGTCGGTGAGTGGAAACAAAATTTAGAAAATATTTTTTAGTGTTTGGTCAGAGAATAAAAAATATTTTTTAGGAAAATAATTTTTTATGCTACGCTCGATCCTCACCCCCTTCCCCCAAATCCTCATATTTCCTGTTCTCTCTCTCCCCCCTCCCTCNAAACTTCATACAAATACTCTTTTTTGTTGAAAAAGAAAGTGCTCTTTCTAGAACATGAAAAGAAAGTACTCATTTAATGAAATAAAAGAAAAAAAATTCTACATCATGAAAAGAAAATTTCCAGTTTGTTGAAATGAAGGAAAATAATTTTTCTACATCATGAAAAGAAAGTACTCAGTTTGTTGAAATGAAAAAAAAAGTATTTTATCTACAACATGAAAAAACGTACTCTAATATATTTCTATTTAGGGTGGGTGGGGTAGCGTAGGGGTGGGTAGGGGGTAGGG